GGGTTTGGAACGACATGAGGGTGAGTAATTAATGACAGAATTTTCATTTTTGGGTGAACTATCCCTTTAAAAGTTTGCCCAAAAGTATGTTCCCAAAATAAGATATTTTTAAAATGTCTGTTTTTTTTCCCCCATACAATAAAAGTTAATGGGGTTCAATGTTGTTTTGGACTCCAATGACATTCATTGTATGTGCAAAAACTTAAAATAATCTTAAAAATAAGAAAAAAGAAAGCCATACAGGTTGGGAACAACGTGAATGTGAGTAAATAAATTCATTTTTGTGTGTGAACTGTCCCTTTAAGAACTTAATAAGAACGTAATCCTTAATACAAGTTAAACAACGGATAAATGATTTCAGGGCATATAACTTTTACAGGAAGGTATATAAGCAGCCATTGAGCGATATGTAGATTTAAAGATGTTGTAATAACTCCGAAACATAAGCTGTTGACCTTTACACATGGAGGAGGTATAAACGGTGATTACACTCTTATAGGCATTATAGGTTTGTCATGTGCTTGCTGCACAATTTAATCTGGACTCTGTCCGATGTGGTTTTAAAGCCCTATAAAACACACATAGCACTCTACAACCTTGCTTTTGAACTCATCTGACAGTTTCACATTGTAAACATCTACTAAAAGCCTTTTATTTGATCAACAATACTGTATTAAGTATTTCAGTGATGAATAATGCTTTCACCAGATAAATGAAGGCCCTGCTTCAGATTAGATGTTTTGGCTTAAAACATATTGATTAATATTATTAATTATTTAAGAAAGCCCCATCGACACTACAATTCAAAATCTTGGGGTCAGTAAGATTTCTTGATTTTTTGAAAGATGTCTCTCGTGCTCACAAAGGTTAATTTATTTGATCAAAAATACAGTAAGTTTATAAAATATCAGTTTAAAATAAATATTATTTAAAATCTGATTTATTTTTGTGACGCCAAAGCTACATTTTCAGCATCATTTCTCCAGTCTTCAGTCTCACATGATCCTTCAGAAATCATTCTAATATGCTGATTTGGTGCTCAATAAACATTTCTTATTATTATCATCATGGTTGAAAAGTTTGCTGCTTAATATTTTCTGGAAACCATAATACATGTTTTTCATGATTCTTTGAGTATTGATTTCTTGAGAAAAATCATACTGCTCCCAAACTTTTAAACGGTATTTTAAATATTTGTTAGTACTTGAGAGCATTGCTGACATTTGAATGGCCTCATCTGTGTGAGCAGTGTGACACCATGCTATTATCAGTGGGTGTTTCACAGATAAGCCTAACTTTACTTTAGAAATGAGGTAGGATGGACACACCTCTCTCAGCTCATAGTATTTGTGAATGTGTCTAGAGTGTGTTCAGGAGATGTTTTCACTCACTGCAGAAGCTCCCAGATGACCATGCCACAAATACCAGTGTGGTGGAACGGAAACTGCATCAGCCAAAAAGGCAGTTATGTATAGAACAGCTGCAACTACATAGAACACCATGAGCTACAAGGAGGAAAGGAAGACAGAATTACAAATTTGATTTAACTGACAAAGTCACAAATGATATACAGTAAGCTATCTCCTCTATTAGAGGAGTACGTGTCTCACCACCAAAGGCCAGGGCACTGAGGGTAAACTCTGATAAAACCTCAGCAGCAGCACAACAAACAGGGCAATGCTCAGAAGCCACAGCGTCACGCTGACAAACATTACCCAACCATAAGCAGGATCCGAGGTGTAGCTGGTAGCGGCGATCAGCGCCCACACCAGTAATCCAACAATCTGAACAGAAGATGGAGATGATCGTATGTTAAACATCAATGACAAAATACAGCCACTTAAAGGGTTAGTTCACCTAAAAATAAAGATTCTGTCATCATTTGCTCAACCTCATGTTGTTCCAAATCTGTACGACTTACTTTATTTTTTGCGTAACTTAAAAGACATATTTTGAAAGTACCCAGTGAAAATCAGTGGCTCCAAAACAGTATTGGACCCTAATGATTTTCTTCGTATGAACAAAAAAACTTCAATATCCTTTTTTTTGTGCCACAGAAAAAAAAAGAAAGCTATACAGATTTGGAAGGACAAGAGGGTGAGTAAATAATGACAGAATTTTTATTTTTGGATACATTAATCCTTCAAGTCAAGAAAACCCCTATTATCACTAAGGCTTTTCTTAACTTCAGGGTGTTATAATTAATTTAGATGACATTAGAGCTTGCACAATTACATGCATGCTCTGAAACATGAGCTTTAAAATGAAAGTGACGTACGTGTGAATCATCCTGGTAGTTCTCATCAGAGACCTAACCTACCAAAAACATTTAACATGCAACACTGTCAACAATTAATTATATTTTTAGCACCATATGCCCTGAGGAATCTTTTCACATAGTTATAAATTAAAAAATAATATAGCAAATAAAATATATTTTTTATATATAGCCTACACAAACAGATGATGCCAATGGAATTCATTTATACAATGAATATGAAAAGTTCATTATGTATTATTCATCTGATAAAGGTCTCAGATTTCAGACTATGTGTCTGACACAAGATACCTACAAATGTGACTTGCTCCACAGAATAAAGACTAAAACAGACATATCTCAGGTCAAATATTCACTAAAGTTCAGTATTACATTTATATTTACTGATTTAACAAGGACTAAATAATGTATTTGTATTGAGGGGAGTGTTTTATTATGGTTATTGACCCAATAACCAGTAAGATGATAATACAATAAACATCATAAATACTGATGTTTACTGTACAGTTTAATCAGTAATTTATATTACAGTCAAGTAAGTATTTTTCTGTACACTTTATTCTGATAATTGCATGTTCATATCTGAATATGTTGATATTTTGAGCAGAATGTAGTTTCAATGTTCCTAAATAACAGAGAAACATAGACTTGTGGTTTACCTACATTTACATGTTGGCTCAGTGTAGGAGCACACCTGATGCACAATATGAACACAACATCTACCTCTATGCAAACCCTGTACAAGCATGCAACTATCTGCATAATATCCAAGTTGTATGAAAAATTATGACCATAAACCTCGCTGATCCTGGTTAGTTTCATTTTATCAATCAACACCTACACAGTCTCAGTTTTTCTCATAAACACTGGCAATTTTTTTTTAAGCATAAAACACTTGAACATATGACAAAGCATAGAAAGTGCAATATACAGTTTTTAACAACTCACAATCTCAGTCAAAAGTAGGATACCAGGAACGCTCTTGATGAAGTCCATGTCTACCATTGCTGGGACTCCATAAGTTCTCTGAGGTTCATTGGAGCTGGTCTGAGTGCTGACCTTCCCAGGAAAATCTGCCATTTCTTCTCAGTATAAAGAGTTGATTACATAAAAATATCTCTTTAAAAAAAGAAAAAGGAAATAACATCTCAGAGGAGACACACCAGAACAGGTAATGCAGGTGTTGTCACTACCTAACAACTCCGCTTGAACAGATACAAGTTTTCTTTCTCTCTTTCACACCCTCCCTCCCTCTCTTCTCCCTCTATACCTTTGCACACCTATGAAGTATTTAAAGTGAGATCATGTTAGGCGGATACATCTGTGTATCCAAGTAATAAATTACTTCAGTAAGAATAATAAAGTGAGAACCCTCTACCTTCCTCTTGTAAAGAAAAAAGGAAACAGCAAGACAAAAACAATAGAAGTTGGGGGTTAAAAAGCGTTTAAGAGTTTAAAATGTCAGAATCATTGACAGAAGAGGATATTTTACATGTACACAGCAATGCATACAACATGGTGTAGCCATTGCTTTAACTTTAACACAGAAAGTAAAAGAAAAAAATCTGTAAGTAATGGCTAGTTTTAACATTCATAATTAAATTATAAAACTATTTATTATACGCAGAATACTCTTCCTATATGCAATGCTCATTGCATTCCTTGCTTTGAACCACTCGCTTTATAAAAAAAATTTATAAAGATTCATTCATTAACGTCTTTCATCCTTCACTAACCTGCACAACAGTCGTTTTTGTACTGCAGTTATTGCCTTCGTTCATCTTTGGCCACTCTTTGCAGCGACCAAATGTAAAACTTTCATGTCGTGTATTTTTGCTAGTTTTGTTGTTTCGGTACTCTACTCTCCATGAGGTATGAAATGGCCTTTGGTCGCTCTGCTGAGCATGTGTCAGCTGGGAACTGTCATGTTGACCTACTGGAAAAAAACTGTTGTCAGAAGTGGGATTCGAACCCATGCCTCCAGGGGAGACTGCGACCTGAGCGCCACCGCTCGGCCATTCTGACATATTGCACTGGATGTTTTTTTTTTTTTTTGTCCTCTAGAGTTTAAAACTACTTTTATTTTTCTCATTTATATTTACTGTTTTCATAATGTAACAGTAAAAAACAGCAATGCATACCATTTATATATATATGATATAATGCAACGTATATAATATAATTTAATATAATTTATAATATCATTTTTGCCATGACATAGGGTGGCCATTTCTGTAAAACCAAAATTGAGGACAATTTGTGGGATTCAGTAAAGGTAGGACAAAAACTGAAAAATAATCCTAAACCTATGAGCAGTGACAGAAAAAACCTTTTTTTTTTTTTTTTTTTTGGGGTGATATTTTCTTTCTTAAAGGTGCCATAGAATGGAAAACTGCATTTACCTTGGCATAGTTGAATAATAACAGTGTGTGGCTGACTCTTAACTTTTATAAAGAATATCTCTTTGGATTTGAGACTTTAGTCTTTGCAAATTTACAGATCTTCTTTATGCACCAAGAGCTTGTAACACTCCAAAGAGAAAGGAAAAAATGAAATCGCATCATATGACCCCTTTAATAGCAGCTCCCTGATGCCCGCATTTTATATACAGTATAATTACCCAACGATATAACTGCGAGAGGCAGTATTGAAATATATATTTTCCCTGTGTTTCTTTCCTGCTGCGTGAGCTACTGAAATGAGCCGCACTGTGAAACAGCCAATCAGAGCAGAACTCAACATTGAGCCGCACTGTGAAACAGCCAATCAGAACAGAGCTCCACATTATTATTCATGACCCTTCCAAATAAGGTAAAAACTGACCATTTCATTCTAGGGACAAATCCTAGGGTTGTAAATGGACATGTAAAACCGTTTCTGGAGATTTTTTGCCCTTACCTAAGCCACATACCTTCTATGTATATATCAGAGAACAATTTAAAATATTGTATCAATGCATTCTATAGCACCTTTAAACTGATTTCCAGGGGCAATTGATTTACTTTTATAAGGGAATTTTCTAACCTTATTACATTTATTTAATATATATTTATTCCATTTATTCCAATTCTTACATTTAATACATTTATTTAGAATAATAAGACACTACAGGGCTGACAGCAATCAAATACAATAAGTATCAACAAAATCCATTGTTGTTTAAATGGCACAGACGCAACACCTAAAGTGGCATTTAGATTTATTTACACAATGCTATTCAGAGATACCATAAATAAATTTACACTGCAGTTACAATAGCATAAATAGTGTTATGAGAATTTTTTTTTTAATAAAAGATATATATAAAATATGTTGAATATTGAACTATGAAAATACTTCAAATATGAAAATAAAACCGCCTGTAGGTGGCGGCAAGTCACTATCTTAAAGGCATAGTTCCCCCCCAAAATGAACATTTACTGTTAATTTACTCACCACAGGCCATACAAGATGTAGGTGACTTTTTTTCTTCAGTTGAACAGTTGAGAAGATTTTTAGCTGAAGCCGTGGTTCTTGGTGATTCATGAAAGGCAGGTCAGCAGCTACTGGCACTTGAGAGTCAAAAAAAAAAGAAAGGTTTCTTGAGCAGCAATCAGCATGATTTCTGAAGGATCATGTGACATTGAGTAATGAAGTAATGAAGCTTTAGCATGACAAGCATTTTAAAATATATTCAAACAGAAAGCAGTTCTTTCAAATGGTAGATTTACTGTTTTTACGGTGTTTTTGATCAAATAAATGCAGCCTTGCTGAGCAGAAGAGATTTCTTTCAAACCCTTTAAAATAATTTACTGACCCCTTTTTGAATGGTGGTGTATATATTATTTGTAATGTATATTTTCAAAGCATTTATTTAGCCCATATAACACCCCACATTAGCTCATATATAATTTTACAAACATGTAATTGAATGCCATATGACATTCATGGCATTTGATTTGACTGGACTTGAAATATCATTATCATTAGTTTCCCAAGGAGCAAAAAACGTGAATATAAATTATATCTGTAAGTGTTAAATAAACTCTTTAGAAATTTAGAATTCGAACCAACCACATTTAACATTTCTATCGTAAAACAGTGGTCAGATATGAAATGTTTGGCTACTTACATCTTATCCCGCACTTTATAGCCGCTGACTGAAGCGTCGCGTTGACCTTGAAATTCGCGCTATGCAGCTTCTGTGAACATAAAGGCCGCCTACTTTGATTTGATTGGTCATCTCAAATATTTTTTGAGCGGTGACAGCTGAGGCAGCTCAGATGAGGAGGCTTAAAGGAACACTCCACTATTTTTGAAAATAGGCTCATGGGTTAGACTCACAGGTGGGTTAGAAACGCACTGGGTTGTTCGAATAAGTGGACTGCTGACTTGTTGTCAATCCATGTTATTTTATTTGGTCCCATATTGGATCTCTTTGTGAGGTCTAAACTTTATAGCCTCAGTTTGGAAAGCGATGTAGCAAGTGGCATAATGGTAACATTAAAAGCAAATGTAACATCAAGCAGAAATGAGCAGAATCCAAGCTGAGAAAATAGAAATGTGTTACCATACACTTTAGACGTGTTATTGTTGTCAATTATTTGTATGCTTTGTGCAAAGAATAGATTTTTAATACTTTGATAACATATTCAGCAAATTCAGTTTGCTTTGCAAGTTACACCCTTGCAACCACAAACTATGAAACTTCAAACATCATCAGCGGTTTATTATATTCTCTTCCTTCTCAATAACTTTTAACCAAAAAGCCACTAGTATGTTCCTCACTTGTATGACAAATTCACTTTGATGATAAATCAATGAGAAAGTAATGTGAAATTCAACAAAAATCTGTGCTTGTTTCTGTGTGAGTATTTTTTCCTGAAAACTACCTGTTCCAGCATTCCTCAGCTTAGTGTCACACACATGTGCAAATATATGTAGGTGTGGTACGGTGTTGCTTCCCACTGTATAAGCAAGACAGTAACCCTTTTGTGTGACTGCGTGGTCAAAAAGAACTGTAGTAATGTCACACAGCCAGGGGCGCCGCTAGCAATTTTGGTACCTATGAAAGAATATGAGGTTGGGCCCCCTACCGCACCAAACATACAAGCCATCCTATAGCTATTCAAAATCTTTGTCTGCAATTTAATAATACTGACCTATTACTTTTGCTATTGCTTTTGACCAGGTATCAGTATTTACATAATTCAGTGAGAACCTGTTCTACATGGACATAGAGTCTGCAGCTTAATAATATTGATCTATTACTTTTGCTATTGCTTTTGACCATTAGGTGTCAGTAACATAATTTATTCAGAACCTTTTCTATGGACATAGAATTTCTGTACCACACTATTCTGCTGATATGGAATGAGTTTGACTACTTAATCAGTTATATTAATAGAAATTGTTCACTGGGGCAAACAAAATAATCCTAAAATAATAAATACAGGTGCATCTCAATAAATTAGAATGTCGTGGAAAAGTTCATTTATTTCAGTAATTCAACTCAAATTGTGAAACTCGTGTATTAAATAAATTCAATGCACACAGACTACAGTAGTTTAAGTCTTTGGTTCTTTTAATTGTGATGATTTTGGCTCACATTTAACAAAAACCCACCAATTCACTATCTCAACAAATTAGAATACTTCATAAGACCA